CCTCCCTTTCATCTGGTTTTCTAAATGTTTTCTAGGTATGTTTTTAATTGAACTAGAATTACACCACTTTCTCCCCTCCAATCCCTCCCATGTTCCCCTCCCACTCTCAAGTTGCTAGCCTCTTTTTTCTTTTTTATTATTGGATACATGTATGTGTGTGTGTATATATATATTATTATGTATGTACAAATAAACACAAATACAACCTGCTTGGTCCATTTTGTTGCTATTATGTACATAGTTTCAGGGCTGACTGTGACACACAGGACAACTGATAAGGAGGCTCATCCTTGGGAGAGGCTAATTCTCCTTCTCCCAGAAGTCCTTAGTTGCCTATAATCTATGGTCTAGGGATGGTATTCTAAATATTAAGGAGGGGCAACTGCGGTGTTCCCCCTTTACTTACCTATCACTGTTTTTCACTTACAAAGTCAGTGTTAGCAGGAACAAAGGGATGGGGCCTGAAGCTGATGATGAGGGAAGAGTCCATCCTCCCTGATCTTCAAGTCTGCTCATGTCTAACTAGCTACATAAGTTGACCCGACATGTTTAAGTAGAACTGGTCCCCACCTTCACGTGCCCCTCTGTAGTAAATGCAGGCATGGATGAACTAGCAAGGGCACCAAGAGGAAACAGAGACAAGTCCAGAAGGCGTAGACAAGTCTGAAACTTGTGTCAGGAAGAATGCTGATCGAACAGGGGAGATGGAAGGGGAAAAGCAACATGTTTGCCTTGGCCACACACTGGCGTGGGGTGAGGGAGCTTGAATATGGACTAGGCTTGGGTATTAAGGAGTTATTAAATGCTTTAGGTGTGAGCCTAATGTGACACTTATTAAGAAGATTGGCCTTCGTTTGAAAGCATACGTGCTGGGCTGGCAACATAGCCAGTTTGTAGAGTGACTGCCCAACATCCCTGAGACCTTGAGTTTGGTCCCTAGAATCACACAAACCAAGCATGGTAGCATGATCCTTGTAATTTTAGCACTCAGGAAGTGGAAGAAGGATCAGAAATTCAAGGTCATCCTCTGCTACATTAGCAAGATCAAGGTCAGCCTGGGATACGTAAGACCCTGCCTCAAAAACAAAAATATAAACAAACAAACAAACTCACACTGAAGTATTTCACAGGGCCATGCTAGAACACATGTGTTTTGTTTCCAAATGTTTGAGCATTTGAAACATTCATATACATATATGTGTGTATGTGTACATATGTATGATCAAGTATAGAAAATTTATTAATGCTAAATCATTTCAACTTTTTATTAAGTTTATTTGGAGTGCTCATTGTGGACTTATATAGAGGTTCAGAGGACAACTTGTGGGTGTCAGTTCTCTACTTCCACTATGTGGGTCCCAGGGATCCCTCTCAGGTCACCAGCCTTGGTCAACAGAAAGTGTCTCTACCCACTAAGCCTCATCTCATTGTCCTCCTCCATCTCCAGTACTTAGTTATATGTCAGAGAAAGAATTGGTATAAGTAATACTATCTTGGTTTGCTTTCTATTGCTGTGATAAACACCATGACCAAGAGCAACTTGGGGAGGAAAGGGTTTATTCCCCTTCCAGCTCCCAAGTCACAGTCCACTATTGAGAGAAGTTAAGGCAAGAACTCAAGGCTGGAACCCAGAGCCAGGATCTGGAGCAGAGACCTGGAGGGGTGCTGCTTACCAGCTTGCTCTTCATGAGGTTCTCAGCCTGCATTCTTACACAGCAAAGGACCACCTGTCCCAAGGTGGCCTTCCTCACAGTGGGCTTGTCCTTCCACATCAATACTCAATCAAGAATATGTCTCCCACACTTGCCCACAGGCCGACCCGCTGCAGGCGTGTTCTCAGCTGAGCTCCCCTTCTCCCAGAATGGCTCTGGCTTGGGTCAAGTTGACAGAAAGCCAACAAACACAGGCTGCAAAACGCAGAGCTAGCCTTGCTTTACCGAGTCAACAGCAGAGACGACAAACCAGAGACACATCCTGTCCTAAAGCGCACAAGAGCTGACAAAAGCCACAAGGAAAAATGATGTCAAGTTTCTGGGCTGACTGATCTTGAGAGAGCGTGAGAAGAGTGAGAAAGCACGATGAACGTATCTTACGAGAGGGCGCATCATGGCGGCCCTATCGTCCCTATTGGTCTTCCCAAGGAAAGCACTGAGGCAGACGCGAGGAAGAATGGCATGAAGAGCCTGTAAAACACAGCTGCTGCTACACCTGGGGAAATTTCAGGTGAATCCAAGGGTCTGACAGAACCGTTTGAGGCTAGGAGGATTTCATTGCAGTAGACAGCTTTGGGGTTTTCAGTTCATGGTCATTTGACCCCAAGCCCTTGAGCAGACCATCCTGCGGGCAGGAGTGTGTGGCAGTGTTTGTTCCACCCAAAGGACTCTGTTTCATTTCTATTGCTGTGATAAAATATCCGACTGACAGAAAGCAGCTTAGGGCAGTAAGGGTTTATTTAGCCTCACTGTTGTGGAGGGTTGGGGGTCAGGAGGATGAGGTGACAATGGGGGGGATGGAGAAGGGGTAGGAGCAGGAAGCTGACCATCATGAATAGCAAGTGGGTGAAAGCTATCAAAACCTCTGGGGTGGTTTGAAAGAAAATAGCCCCCAAAGGGAGTGGAACTATTAGGAGATGTGGCCTTGTGGAGTGGGTGTGGTCTTGTTGCAGGAAGTGTGTCACTGTGGAGGCGGGCTTTGTGGGTCTCATATGGTCAAGATACCGCCAATATCTCAGACCATTTCCTGTTGCCTGCATGATATAGGACACTCAGCTACTTCTCCAACATCATGTCAACTTGCATGTCATTATGTTCCACCATGAAAATAATGGACTGAACCTCTGAACTCTAAGTCACCCAATTAAATGTTTCTCTTTCTAAAAGTTGCCGTGATCATGGTGTCTCTCTGCAGCAATAGGAACCCTAACTAAGATAGCCTCAACCTCCACTTCCAGGCATGTGCTACCTCTTGTAAAGCCCCACCTTCCAAAGGGGCTGTGACCTTCCCACACAGTGCCACCAGCTGGGAACCCAGTGTTCAGGCACATGAGCCTATGGAGACTTTTCATATTCAAACTACAGCAGACATGTTTCTATCTGTTTTTCATCATCTCCCAATAATATCAGCACACTGCAACCCTGTGGATGAATTAACCCATCAATTAAGCCAAAGTTCTCATGATCTATCCCAAGAGACACCCCCAGAGACACCCCGACACATCCTTTCCTAACCTCCAAGGTAGTTCTGGAGCCAAAGAGTTGGAAATCGAGGTTAATCAGCAGACTTCTTTCTAGATGCTTTTTAAAAACTGGTTAGAACCACAAGGAGCTGCAGAAAGTCTTGCAAGTGATTATGCAAAGGAAGTCTCTCCGTAATAAGCAGAGGTAGGAGTTTGTGACACAGGGAACTCAACAATACTAAATGTTAGGGGAAAGTCGCATTGCAAGCGTTTTCAACAAAGAAAGAATTCAGTGATTTTATTCTCATCCAAATTGTGTGTGCTGTGTAGAGGCAGGTTAAAGATATTCTCATATATGGGGATGGGGAGAAAAAGATATTGTGAAGAATAGATTGGTGTGCACATACGTTCCATTCAACCAAGAGATACGCTGAAAACACAGGCTGGTAAAAATCACTTCTAAAAGTATCTGTAGATCCTTTTTTGCTTGGTTTGGAGCCCTGTCTGGTAATCCAGGATCCTTGCTTCTACCCAGGAGTAGGCTGTTCTGCATTGTGTCCTTCGTCTCCCATTTTCTCCACTAAGAAGGTATCCTTTCAGCAATAGGAGGCATGGCCTCCAGCCATAATTGCAGTGGTGGTTCTCCGTGTTTGACAGGCTTGGAGACAAAAAACTGCTGCTGTTCTGTCCTAGCTGTGACAATGGCTCGTAATCTGCATGGCAACAAGGAGAAGGCTATGCTAGGGACATTGCTAACCTTAAAAAACGTCTTAATTTCCCCTGCCTTCCGTTGATAAAGAGGCTAAGTATTGCCACACAATAATAAAGAACCTGAACAGCGGTCATGCTGAATCTTCCATCATAGAAAAGGGGTGGTGGTTGGGACTTTCTTTCAGAGTTCTAGAGATAGAAGCCAGCCTCTCGTGCATGTGAAACAGAACTGAGTCACACTGAGTCACACGCCCAACCTTTTTGTTTTTAGTTCTTGGTCCTAAAATACTAAGGAGTGAACAAGTCCTCGGTTCCTATTTACATCGTTTCCCGTCTAAGACATATGATGATCTTTATCTCTTTTTTTTTCTTTTTTTTTTTAATTTATTTATTTATTAAGGATTTCTGCCTCCTCCCCGGACTAGCTGAACATAGCGGACAATGAGGAATACTGAGAACTCAAGAACAATCGCAGTGGGTTTTTGATCCTACTGCACGTACTGGCTTTGGGGGAGCCTAGGCAGTTTGGATGCTCACCTTAGGAGATCTTTATCTCTTTTAGGACACTTTTGTATGGGCTGGAGAAAAGGCTTAGTAAGAAGGAACACAAAGTGCTCTTGCTCAGCTCCTAGCTCCATGTTGGGCAGGCTCACAAATGCCTGCTAACACCAGCTCCAGGAGATTCAGCGCCCTCTTCTGGCCTCATTGGGTACCCACAAATCTATGTGCGCGCACACACACACATATAAATATAATACTTTTTTACTTTTTTTTACAGTGTGTGTGTGTACCTGTACACCCATGCCGTGGGATATACGTGGAGGTCAGAAGACAGCTTGCAGGAGTTAATGACTCTCCTTTCACAATGTAGGTCCAGCGAATTGAACTCAAGCAATTAGTCTTGGTGGCAAAGCACCTTTACCCCAACCCATCTTGCAGCCCACCTTGTGTCTTTTTAAACAGCCAACTAATACTAGTTATAAAGAGAACTCAAAAGAGTGTGAATATAAACTAGAGACAAAAGTTAACCTTATTTTCTGAGAAACAGAATCCTGTCTAGAAAAAATAGTCACTTATTAAAGATATTAACCTTGGTGAGCCTTAGTGCAGGTGATGACGTCACTGGTTAAATTTTCTAACCAAGTGGTTTTGTTTCTTGAGTGACAGATACAAAATGAGATGGTGTAGGGATTGCTCCGAAGTCTGGAAAGGCCTAGGGAAGACAAAAGAAGAACACAGTTGAAAACATTTTAATACTAATGACTGCCTATGGTTAATACAATTACCCCAGCATCACAGATGAGGAGAACGAAACAAGAGGCTAAGCAACTCATGCCCATCCAAGGCCCTGCAGTGGGCAAGGAGTGTAATCGGCAGCCCTGGCATAGGCATCTATCTTCATTGCCATGGCTGCACTGCCCACTGCATCCCACTGCCAAGAAGGATGGAGAGGCCTGAGGGAGCCAGTAGAATCTGAGTAAGGTTCTGATGGACAGGGCACCATGTGAATGTCTTTCCTGTCTTCCAAACATCTCTCCTGAAATATCCAGGCATCCCCAGTGTGTTGTGAAATTGAGTTTGTTTTATGGATTACAAAGAAATGTCAGGTAAAGGATGTGTCTGGGTGTGTCAGAACAAACAGGATGTAAGGATGGGGAAAAACCTCAGTGATCTTTTTTCTCTTTTCTTTTTCTCTTTCTGTATTTATTTTTTGCTTCTTGAATTAAGGTCTCATGAGTCCCAGGTTGGTTTCACACTCACACTATAGCCAAGGATGACCTTAAACTCTGATCCTCCTGCCTCAACCTCTCTAGTGCTGGATTACAGGCATGCACCACCACCTGCTTTGTGCATTGCTAGGGATCAAACTCAGGGCTCTGCATGCTAAGCAAACGCTCTACCCACGGCACTACCTTTCATGTACTGCAGCGTTGCACAGTTGAGCAGACACTTTTATAATGAGCAAAATGCCTCTCTCAACGTGATAATTGCATTTAGAATATGCCTAGCAATCAGCCCAGAAAGAAACTTGTAGAAATGCTCTAGTGGTTGGAACTCTACAAAGGTCATATGGCTGAATTCTTCCCGCCTTCCTTTCCAGACCTGTCCAATCTTTCTAGAATAACTAAGTACCAACTCTGAAATGGAGACAGCAAATGAGTTTAAGCCAAACCAAAACAAGGAATTCTATTTGCAATGGGAAGTGGGGTGCTATCAAAGACAAGAGATGTGAAGACAGATGTTAGGAGAGTTTGATTGACTGCATGGGAATCAACCAGAGCAAGGTGGGATTTGAACATTGCCCCAGCCAGTCTTTTCAGCTCTCTAGACACAATGGACTCTTCATGTATTTCAATGAGGATTATCAACTCATGACTATCCTTATCCAGGATATGCAGTGAGCAAGCGTACCAGAAATTTCCAATTTTTTTCTGATAGTGTTAAGGGTAGGAAGGGAATTAAATAAGATGCTGACTAGGAGACATGATGGGAAGAAGGTAAAGGGGTTCTGCTTTAGGTAAGAAGGGCAGGGACTGTGTCTAAGAAGGACTGATGTTCTAGCTGAGGCCTGCGCCTAAGGAGGAGAAAGGAGCTATGTAGGGACTTCAGGCCATGGATACTTCAGAGACGGAGGCTGAGAGAAGGAACACAGAGGACTCTGGTGTGTCCACAGATCAGTGGTACAAAGAGAGAGCAGGACCTGAACTTGCAGGGGGCAGCGAGAGAGGACACAGGACCTTGAAGCCTAAGCAAAGGCATTCAACAGTATTCTAAGTGCAGATGGAAACCACTGGAGGATTTTTCACAGTGGGATGGTCTGTTCTCACTGAGAGCAAGCTGAAGAGAGGAAGCAATACTGCAGAGACCATTTAGAAGGTCAGTGTTATCACTGGTGAGATACAATGGACAGGGTATGTCTCTAAGAAGAATTCAGAAGGCTGCAGGAGCTTCATTGTGACAGAGTTGGGAAAGTGTAGCTCAGCTTGCCCTTATCAGTGAACTCGGGTTAGGGGTATGGCTCAGTCAGTAAAGTGTTTGCTACACATGTATCAAGTCCAGAGTTTAATCCCCAGATCCCACATAAAAAGTAGGGTATGGTGGTGCACACCTGTAATCTCAGTGCTAGTGAGGGTCCCTGGGCTAGATGGATAGACAATCGAGCTGAATCAGTGAGCTCCCGATTCAGTGAAAGACCCTGTCTCAAAAAAGAAGGTGGAAGGGAGTTGAGGAAGATAGCTAAGGTCAACCTCTGACCTTCACACAAACGGGCATGCACGCGCAGGCACAAACACACACGCGTGAGTACGCACACACCAACATAACCACTGCGTTTGGATGAGGCTGCTTCTGACTCTTCCCAGGTAGGATTTTTAGGATTCCAGGTTTCCCCTGTCCTTGACCCTGGGTACCACTGTAGATTTTTGTTGCATCTGTTTGTGGGCGTGTCCATCTCACGTCCGTTAATAACCTCCTTCCATCCCTAATTGATGCTGCACAGCACAGATGGGTTCTGGCAATGGCAGTAATAAGGTTCTGAACGCTTTCCATTGCTATATTTCTACTAGATGATTTACCTACTGACATTGTTTAACTTGACGTGCCAACTTGACTAGATTAAGGGATTTTCAGACAGTTAGTAAGGCATCATTTCTGGGCATCTCTGTGAGCACGTGTCTGAAAGAGAATGGCATTGAAATCACCAACCTAAGAAAGAAACCCACCCTCATACAGTGATATTGGCAATTTTTTAAGTGGTCGAGGGCCCACGATACCTTTGAGTTCGAAACATCAGGTGAGTTCCTGTGCTTGAACGCCTGGTCTCCGGCTGGTGGTACTGTTTTGGGTGGCTGTGGACATAAAGCTTAGCTGGTGGGAGTAGGTCACGAGGGGTGGGCCTTGAAGTTTATACCCACCCACTCTCTCATCTTCAGGCCCACTATGTCTGCTTCCAGGTTCATAGGGATGGGAGGAGCTATAGCACACTCTCCCACCAGCCAGACAAGGACACTCCAGCTGCCATGTCTTCTTTGCCATGATGGACAGAACTGTGACCTTCTGAAAACAGGAGCCAAAGCAAACCTTTTCTCCATTAAGTTGTTACCAGGGATTTTTGTCACAAAATGCAAAGGGCAAACCCATTCATTAGCCTTTCTTCTACTCTCTCCCTTCTTCTCCTTCATTAATTCTTCACCCTCGGGCTAGAGAGATGGCTCAGCTGTTAACGGCTAGGTTTACAGCCAAAACTACACACACAGCGTCTGTCTCAGAGCTAGAACCCTGATGTTCTCATGCTCGTGGACACCAGAGCTCCACGTTCTTTGTGTCCTCGACCCTTTGAATTCCAGGACCTGCACCAGTGGCCTCTTAGGTCTAAGAATTCTGGCCCCAGACTGAGAGGCGCACCTCTGGCCACTCTAGTTCTCAGGGGTTAATCTTGTGCTGAGCCATGGTGAAATCTCACAGTTCTCCAGTCTGCATATGCCGTGATGGGACTTCTCAGTTTCCATAGCTGTGTGAGCCAATTTCCCTACAAAATTCCTTCCCAACTATCTACCTAATCTATCTATGTATCATCTACCTATTTATCATCTCCCTGTCAATGATCAATCAATTATATATCTATCATCTATGTATGTATGTATCTATCTGCCCATCATCTGTCTATGTATATATCTATGTATGTATCTATATATCTATCTGCCTATCATCTGTCTATGTATCTATTTATATATGTATCTTTATATCTATTACTTATCTATCATCTATCTATCTATTATCTGTCTATCATCTGTCTTTCTGTGACAGCTGATATCAACTGTCAGCTTAACAGGATGTAGACTCACCGAGGAGACAGACCTCTGTGCCTGTCTGTGAGGCTGTTTCCAGAGAGGATTAATGCAGAGAACTGCTGGTAGCAATGACTTTTACGAGAGGTGACAACCAGTATTCAACAGGTCGACCTATCAAATGAATAACCCTGTTGGGAAGTCCCACTCGGCAAAGTCCATGGGGTTACTGGCTGTGGAAACCGGTTGTTTTCTGGTTATTCATCTGGCGGGTTGACCTGTTGAATACTGGTTGTCCCCTGCTGTATGCCCCTATGACCTCTGGTAAAAGCCACTGCTGCCAGTAGCTCTCAGAGTATTAACTGAGAGGAGACCAGACCTCAAAACAGGAACTGCCTTCCGACAGGCAGCCTCAGAGGTCTGAGGGAAGGGTCAACCTCAGTTCACTTCTTCCTGAGCTGTGTATTTGTGACAATTGCCTCCATCCTCAGCTGACACCAGGTTCCAGCTTCTTTGGGCTTCCAATGTGGAGGTCAATGCCAGTTACTCTCCAGGGACCTCCAGGACTTTCATCCCAGAAGGAACAACTGAGGGATCAAGTCTTGTAGACTGAGCAACTACAGAGTCCTGTCTCTGCCATGTACAGACAGCTATTACCAGACTACCTAACCCCTATCATATAGTCTGTCTATTAAATCTCCACTTATATATTCATTTCATCAATTCTACTCCTCTAAAAAACCCCAATGACACATCTATCACCTATCATCTTGTTGGTACTGCTTTCTGGACATTGCATTGTTTTAATCCTGACAAAACCTGGTAAGGTAAGTATTATTCCTCCTGATTTATAGACCAAAAACCAAGGTTTAGAGAGACTGAAAAACTCATCCAAGACTATACCATTAGGAAATAAGGGAGCCTAGATTTGGAATGTGTAGGGTGTAGGTGGCTCTCAAGCTCAGGCAGCTGTTGGGTAGGGGATTCAGCCTGTAGGTGTCAAATGAGGGGACAAATGATGAACACCTGGACCAGGACACTGCCAATGAGACTAGAGATAAGGAAATAAGGAACTGCCATGAGGGAAATGTTCAAAAGGAATTCTGGATAAACTTCTGCTTCTAGGGCAGCTGTGATTACACAGTAAGATCCTAGCTAAAAATATTATTATTCATAATCAAACAACAGTCTTCTGCTTCTGTTAACTGGGTTTGCCAAGGTAGGCCAAACAGCCAGCCCATGAGGCCTCAGCATGGCCACTGGACTGAAAGTTTCTCAGGACCTCCTGTTATGGGGTGGGGAGGGGAGCCAACTGAAGAGGTTGGAGAGTCCTCCACGTCCTGGGAAGGCGGGATGAGAAGACCCAGATTGACTGTGGTGTCACAGATATAGAGAGGGAAGGCGGTTTGGAAGAGATGGCGAGCAATAGAATCAAACTCTTTTTAGGTCAAGTGGATTCAAAATCAAAACCTATTACTAAACATAGTAGCTGTTTGGGTTTTTTTATTTTTATTTTTATTGAGCTCTACATTTTTCTCTGCTCCCCTCCCTGTCTCTCCCCTACCTCATTCAACCCTCCGCCAAGGTTCCCATGCTCCTAATTTACTCAGGAGATCTTGTCTTTTTCTACTTCCCATGTAGATTAGATCTATGTAAGTCTCTTTTAGTGTCCTCATTGTTGTCTACGTTCTCTGGGATTGTGGTTTGTGGGCTGGTTTTCTTTGCTTTATGTTTTTAAAAAAAACACCTATGAGTGAGTACATGTGATAATTGTCTTTCTGTGTCTGGATTACCTCACTCAAAATAATGTTTTCTAGCTCCATCCATTTTCCTGCAAAATTCAAGATGTCGTTATTTTTTTATGCTGTGTAGTACTCCATTGAGTAAATGTACCACATTTTCTTTATCCATTCTTCAGTAGAGGGGCATTTAGGTTGTTTCCAGGTTCTGGCTATGACAAACAAAGCTGCTATGAACATAGTTGAGCACATGTTCTTGTGGCATGATTGAGCATCAAAACGACAGTCTACAGAATGGGAAAAGATCTTCACTAACCCCACGTCAGACAGAGGTCTGATCTCCAAAATATACAAAGAACTCAAGAAATTGGTCATCAAAAGAACAAATAATCCAATTTAAAAAAATGGAGTACAGACCTAAACAGAGAACTCTCAACCGAGGAATCTAAAATGTCTAAAAGACACTTAAGGAAAAGTTTAACATCCTTAGTCATCAGAGAAACGCAAATCAAAAAAACTCTGAGATTCCATCTTACACCTGTAAGAATGGCCAAGATCAAAAACACTGAAGACAACTTATGCTGGAGAGGGTGTGGGGTAAAGGGAACACTTCTGCATTGCTGGTGGGAATGCAAGCTGGTCCAACCCCTTTGGATGTCAGTGTGGCGATTTCTCAGAAAATTAGGAAACAACCTTCCTCAAGACCCAGTAATGCCACTTTTGGGTTTGTTTGATTTTTAAACCAAAATTGTACTACCACCTAAGGCTAGGATACAGCTTCATTTTTAAAAAGAATCAAGTTTGGGCACAGTGTGGGTCACAGAGTCCATTTCTATACCACCCATCCTGTAAGATTCCCCACCAGCCACAGCCAAAGACAGTACCAACCAGAAAGCCGCTGCTGGCGTTGGGCACATAGTTTACCCAGAGATCACCACAAACAAAAGCTCCAAAGTATGACAAGAGCTCACCTGAGGGGAGAGGCTCCCTTCCGCAGAACACAGCCGCACTCCAATGACAAGGGTTTCTGGATTTTGCCTTTGCCTGCAGGCCACCTCCTTTGAAAGGCACAACACGGCTTCCAGAGAGCGAGCGGTTGATAGAAAATGTGTGATGTGTGGGTCTCACTGGGCCCTCTTCACAGTTTTCAGAGGCGTGTTCTCTAACACCAATACAGCAAGTTTACAGAAAATCAAGGAAAAGAGATTTAAAACAAAAACTCATGCTCACGGCATAAATAAAAAGGAAGGAAAACTACTGGCGTTGCCAGGCAACACAATCCTGCACCCCCTACCAATACAGGCCTCCTCCTGGGCCACACCCCTTGGCAGACAGGGGAACCTGAAGAACACACAGCCCTGCAAGCCATTGCAGCAGCCCTGCAGCTGCGCCTGGAAGTGTGGCTCATGAATCTCCAGGGACAGCTTACTCCAACTACTGGGCATTCACTGGCGTTCACTGACAAGGTACAGGGCAGTCCATCTCAGCTGGGGCTAAGCAGGGTGGGGAACGCATAGAAACAGGGCTGTGGGAGGAAACAGCTAGATTCTCCCCCACCCCCGCCCCTAGAAACAGAGATGGGGAGCTGGACCAAAGTATGTGTCCGGCCACTCAGGTGTGCCCGTCAGACTCCTGAAAGTAAAAGGGTTTGTTTGCAGAGAAGGAATGTGGGGGAAGAGAAGGAGAAGGAAGCAATTGCTACTCAATGAAAGGCTGTTCCAACTGGGCCCAAAGCCAAAATGAAATCGAGTGTGGATTCAGTTGAACTGCACCGAGCAATCAACTCTACGCTCCTCAACTGGCGTAGCGGCCAAAGGCCAACTTTGTCTATAGCTGAGTTATAAACTGGGATCTCACAGGTCGAATCCCTGAATCTTGTGTGGTTTTCATGTTCTCAGATGATCGGCTCTGAAGAGCTCCAACACAAGCTCGGGGGCCACTTTAAACAGTGCTCCTTGGCTCTCTGTGGCTCTCTAGACATCTCCCCTGCCTTCTCCCCAAGCGTGCTTCCATTTGGCTTTAGTTATTGTCCCTCGAGCGTCAACTACAGTCACCCACAGAGCTTTCTAGAACTTGTGGTGCCATGTTGCTATACAAGTTCCAAGCGGCCATTGAGGAAGTCTGTCCTCTGCCTCCCAAAGCATGATCGTAGCAGGTCAGAGCACAAGACAAGACCATGAGGGCCTAGCTCAGTCAGTAAAGTGCTTGCCATAAAAGCACGAGGGCCTGAGTTCAATCCCCAGCACCCACATTTTAAAAAGCCAGACACAGAGAAAGGCACCAGGCTGCAATCTTAGCATAGACAGGAGGATCCCTGGAGCTCTCCAGCCAGTCTCTCTAGCAAAACCAGCAATCTCTGGGTCCAGCAAGAGAGCCTATCTCAAAAAGCAAAGTGGACAGAGATGGAAGAAAACATCTGTGTCAGCCTCTGGCTCCTGTATGCATGTATTTGTGCATGCACGCTCCTCTGCACACATGTATGTGTGTATGCATGCTCATCTGTACACACATATGCATGTGTGTGTATGCATGCTCATCTGTATACACATATACATGTATTGTGTATGCATGCTCATCTGTATACACATATGCATGTATGTGTGTATGCATGCTCATCTGTACACACATATGCATGTGTGTGTATGCATGCTCATCTGTATACACATATGCATGTATGTGTGTATGCACGCTCATCTGTACACATGTATGCATGTATATGTGTATACACACTCATCTGTACACACACACACACACACTCATTGTCCTCGCTGTCCTTTACTTCAGTCCTTCAGGCACACATGTGAAGGAATCATCATGCGATACACACAGAGTCAAAGATGAAGGATATATTAAGGATAAGGAAAATTTTGGAAAGAGGCCTGCCCTTTAGAAACTCAAAACCAAGGCACATGGACAGACTGGCCAATGGTGGGGTTGATTCATTATGGCAGCCCAGGGTGGACACAATGATCTTTTTGGAACAAATTTGCTAAGTAGGCAAGTGAGAGAGGCTTGATGGATCCACGCAGAGGGATTATGGGAAATTGTCTGAATCCAGTTTCTAAGACCTGCTTGCTTCTCTGAGTCACCAGCTCTGCCCTTGGGACATCAGCTTCTTGTTATATTCATGTACAGCCAGCTACCAGGAACAATGGGGACCTATTTACTGTTCTGCATTTTCTGAAAGCTGAAAGTCCAGGCTGACCCCTGGGGTAGCTGTGTCCTCTGCTCCAGAGGTCATCGGGCTGAGAAGGAGGTGTTCTTTGGGGGATTTGGGACTATTGGCAAAATTCAGTTCTGTGTCATTCCAGGACTGTCTTCCGGCTGACTCCTGTCAGGGACTACTGTCACCTGACTCCCTCCATAGGCAGTTGGTAAACATGGCTGTCTGCTTCTTCAAATTCCGCAGACAAGTTCCTAAGCAGTCTGCTCAGATGGAGGCTTATCTAGCGGTACCTACAGGAGCAATTACGTAATTCATGATGGGTAGTCATAATTTTTAATCCCAGGCACACCTGTACAGGGTTGTCTAGATTAAGGTTAGCCTCTGGAAATGTCTGTGAGGATTGTCTTGATTGTGTTCCTTGATATAAGAAGAGCCATCTTAATTGTGAGTACGCTCATTTCCTGGGCATAGGGTGCCAGAGTGCCTGGGATGGAGAAGACAAGTTGAGCACAGTGCATGCAATCACTGCTCCCTTCTTCTGACTGCAGACATAATAAGATCAACAGTTTTAAGCTCTTACTGTCTTCCTCTGCCCACCCCCACAATGGGCTGTAATCTGGAATTTTGGTGTGAACTCCAAGCCACTCATAGGTTCACAGACCTCTGATCTGGGCCTGTCCACCTCCTCTTCATCTATTCCTGCCCTTCTCTCACAGATACGAACTCACTGAACCAGCGGTTCTCCAAACAAGCTCTGTATACACCATTCTCTACTGTCCCAGCCTGCAACGGCTGAATCGACTGGTTCTAGGCTGAGGGTCTTCCAGGCAGAGTTAAAACCACAAGCTATTAAAGCATTTATCAAATCATCTTCTAACCCTTTGTTTCCAGGTGGACCCCACTCCGTGTGGACACAAGCTCCCTGATGCTGAAAGGCAGACCTAACTCAGATTGGTACCCCTGGCAAGAATGCGAGATCTGTAGGGAAAACTGAATATGTGGTTGCTGGAAAGATGGTCAGTTTTAGAAAGCACCTAGTGAATCTTGGGCTTTGTAGTTTCCTGGATCTTGTTTGGGTTACTGCTTTTTAAGACTTTTTAACAATGGTCACTAGTGCCTATGTCACAGGCTGAGTCCTAATTTTAAAATGAAGGTGGCCAAGAGTGCTCATTCATTCATTTGGCAACAAATATCCATTGGGAAACCCGTATCAGGTACTAAATTTGAAGTGGGAAAATCAGGCAAGGATCCCCTCCTCGTGCGGCTTCCAGTCCATCGGGTCTGTCCGTTTGAAGGAGAGGTTCACTTTGATATAGAACGTATCAATAGGAAATTACAGACTGAAGCGAGAGTTGGGAAGGGAAAAGAAATGGTTGCCAGACAACAAGGTGATGGGTCTAATGTAGATGGAAGTTCCTTGCCTCATGATGGTGTTGTAACTTAATCAACTCATTGTAAATGGAAAATGTCATAAAAGGAGAAAGTATTTGCTTAGCTTAGCCCACCTACGGAACATCAAAGCTTCAGAAGCAATATACCGCAGGGTTCCGTTGTTTGCTCTTATGATCATGTGCTTAAGCAGGAGTGTGGCCTGCCAGCTGTACAGAAGCGGCTGGAAAGACGGCTCAGCAGTTAAGAACGCTTGCTGATCTTAAAGGGGTCAAGATCATGAAGGGAAACCCACAGAGACAGCTGACCTGAGCAGTGGGAGCTCACTGACTCTGGACTGACAGTTGGGGAACCTGCATAGGAGCAAACTAGGCCCCCTGAATGTGGGTGACAGGTCTGTGACTTGGGCAGTCTGTGGGGCCACTGGCAGTGGGACCAGAATTTATCCCTACTGCGTGAACTGCACGGATATGGAGGGATACCTTGCTCAGCCTTGATACCGGGGTGGGGGAATGGGTGGGAAAGGACTTGGTCCTGCCACAACTTGATATGCCAAACTTCGTTGACTCTCCATGGGAAGCCTTACCCTTTCTGACGAGTGGATGGGGGATTGGTTGGGAGAGGATGGTAGCGGGGAGCAGGAGGAAGGAAGGGAGAGGGAACTGTGGTTGGTATGTAAAATGAAAAAGAAAACTTAAAAAAAGAAAAAAAGAACATTTGCTGCTCTTACAGCGAACCCAAGTTTAATTCCCAATACCCACATCTAACTATTCATAACTTCTTGTAACTGCCAGTCCAGGGGATCTGACACCCTTTTGTGTGTCTGTCTGTGTGTGTGTGTGCACACACACACACACCTATATATTTACATATAGATATATAGATACAGATTCACAAACAGAACCACTGTAAGTGGAGACCATCTGTAGAAGTGTTAGGAATATTCTCTTGGAAGATATGATCCTAGAGGGGATGGGGGTCTAACCATGAAGAAAGAACACTCTGGCTAGAACCTTCCATTCTGACAACAGGGTCTCTGGGGCCCAGGAACCAGAATAATTATCCAAAATCAGGTGTCAAGCAGGGTGGGACCTTACGAGGTCCCTCTCCATATTCCCAATCCCCCTATGATAAGTTCCTCGTGGTTCTACAAAGGAAGTAAGTGGTGCTCTGTAGCTGTCACTCCCTGGCCTTGTCCTCAGTCCCAGGAACGTTCTAGGGACCCAGTAGGCTCCCTCCAGCAAGGCTCCTTGGTTAAGTGTTGAGGCTCAGGACACTACCTCCTTCTGGGACTTAGGAACCTCCCCCTGCACCCTGTAGCACAGTGGACAGGGAGGCAGGTCCATCCCTCTGCACTCAGCCTTTGGAGAGCCACTTGAGGCAATCTATCACTTGGGCTTCAAGCTGCCAGCCCAGGAGGAGAGCTGAGAAGACTCTATAATGAGATCTTCCATGGTAATTAAGTGCCAGGCTTTGTTTTAACCTATCCCTCCTGCCCTCCTTGATCATATCATATAGCTGGCAGGCGGGGAGCAGGGAGTGTGAGTCACCCTGGGATTACACCCCAGTTACAAGAGGCAGCTGTCATCTTTGTCCAAGCTCCATGCAACCCCAGTCTTACCCAGACTGTGCCACTTCTGTCCTTGAACTGTGTTTCACACCCGCACCATCACCACCCCCGCCCCGAAAGCTACTTCTTCACCTTCTTATAAAAATCACCTCGTTTTAACACTCTAGTGGCAGCAAGCTCTGGGAGCCTTTTCTTTCCTTTAGCATGTCCCTTTTCAGAAAGCAGACATTGCCCGCCCCCACAGTGCACCCTCTCCCCAGGAGCAGAATGAGAGTGGGAAGGAAAAGGGAAGTTCGGACAGAAAGACATTGGGCTGGCAGGACAGAGAGCGTCTCTGCTCTCTTACAGTCTCTGAAGGAAATCACAGCTTCCTTCCTCAGCCTTCTGTCCCGTGCAGGAGCGTCTGCGGACCCAAATCCCACCTTAAGATATTCAGTCCTAGGCTGGGCAGGTGGCTCCGGTGGCAAAGGGCTTGTGCAAGCATGAGGACCAGAGTTCAATTCCCAGGACCCATGTAAAAAAATCTAGGCACCATGGCCCTTGCTGGTAATCCCAGCACTGGAGGGATAGAGCCCCGCAGATCCCTGAGCTTTCTGGCTAACCAGCTTAGCTTACTTGGCGAGTTCAGAGAGAGCTCCTGTCTCAGTAAACAAGATGGACAGCTCCTGATGAATGATACCAGAGATGGTTCTCTGGTATTTAAACACATGTGCACATGTACACAACACACACACACACACAAACACGTATGCACACACCTTCAATAGTTAGGACAGAGGGTGCAGCTGAGTATTAAAGGGAAAGACGCCATCCAGCGTCACCCCCAGCACATCTTCAGGATTTGGTCTGAATTTGGAGCAGGTCAAAGACCACAGGCAAGAATGGAAGTAACTGTGTGGGTGCCGGTCCTGCAGCTGCGCCTCTAGGGAGCACTTCTGGACTCGGGCCTAGGCTTCTTTGCTGGGTCAATGCTGGCCTAGATTATTTCAACATATGGTTAGGGGTATCCTCAGAAGTCACAGCTAGCCCTCGGCCTCCTGTCCTGAGCTCTGTGATAGCCAATAGCCGCCGCCAACCCCAATTCTGATTTCTCTCCTGCCTCAGTCACAAAATCATCGCAGCAGAGATAAAGGTCTTCCCCCTGGTAAGAGAGCAAAGAGGGTACCTAGGCTGAGGTAACTTGGCTAGGACTTCTGGATAGGACTTTTAGAAAAGACAGGCACGGACCACAAAGTGGGCGTGGTCGGGGTTGTGGGCGGAGCCTCCAGCGACAGGCAGGGCCTTCCCGATCCCAACGCTCCGCTGCAGCTTTGGTGTTTGGAGGTCAGCCCAGGACCTGCAGGAGAGGTGAATGCCTTGTAGCTGCAGGGGGTCCTGCAGCGGGTTTCCTGAGACCGGCGGGAGGCCGGGACGCAGCTGGACACGGCGGGACACGACTGGACACGGTTGGTGCCACCGCCCCTCTTCCCTCCTCCTGGGTTGGTCCTGGGCCCTTTTAACTTTCTTTCCCGCCTGACGTCCAGCCCCTAGAAGGCGCACTGTCACTCGGTGCTGTGGAAATTGGGGTCCCCTGGCGGTGAATGGGGAGCAGAGCGGAGAGCTAGCCTAGGGTGCATATCCTGTGCCCAGCAGGGCAACTCTAGAACTGACAAGTCGCTTGCATGCTGGGCTTAGAACAACGGATTCCCTAGTGTGTGACTCTCCTGGCTTTCACCTTTGGCCCCACCCTCTGGAAGAGGCCAGTGGTGATCAGGAATCGCTACGTTCCTTGGAAAGGGGAGGCAGTCACCATCACTTGAGCTATGGACACCTTAAAAAGTCCACTGGCAGAGAAGGCTTTGAGCACTCTACCAGGGAGGGGGAGGTAAGCCAGACCGACGGATTCCATGTGAATACTGTTGGCTCTGAGGCCGTGAAGAAAGTCATCCTGCCTTTGGTGATTGCAGCCGTGGCTCAGTTCTGTAAGCCACAGCTGTAATGATGGTCCCTGAGGAGTGATGGTGGGTTGGGGGACCACCTCGTTGTTGGTTGTCTTGGGAGAGAGGGTGTGCTCCCCAGGAAGGCTCCTGAGGCCTTGCGGAAGACAAAAGTGGGGTGACTGCTTCCTCCCAGTCATGGGTGAACCCTAGAGTTAGCTACATCAGTGTAACACTGCCCACAGGCAAGCAGCTTGACCGCAGGGCCCTTTACACTGTTGCTGTGGGATGTTCCTATCAGACCCCTGCATGAGCAATGCCTCCCACCCACGCACCCCTGCATGAGCAATGCCTCCCCTCCTGCCCAGTGCCTGGAATGAGGTGTGAACCATGTATCTGCCATGGTCACAGGAGGCAATAGGACTCTCTCTCTCTCTCTCTCTCTCTCTCTCTCTCTCTCACACACACACACACACACACACACACACACACACACACAGCTTGGCCTCTTTTCTCTGCCTTTCCTCAGAGGACATAACTCTGAGTAGCCTGTCCATGATCTGTACATAGTTCTTGACTCCATTCACCTAACTCTCTGGGGCAAGAAATCAACAGTGAGAAACTCCCAGCATGCCATGCAGAGTCAGGAGGGAATCCTGGGAAGAGGGCCCTGGGTTCTGCTCCGCTAACTGCTTACTTAGTCTTGCACCCTGTGTTGGGGTTTCTAGGGGTGTCCCAGAGGAGAAACCTAGGCAAAACTTGATTACAGGGCGGCACCAAAAACAGCCCCTATGATAAAAATCAGGATGACTTAGCTCATACATACGGGTTTAATGATCATCCTGGAAGACAGCCCATCCTAACTGATGGCCCAGGATCACTCACCTCCAACCTGCATTGCTCTGAGCAAAGCAAGAAAAGCTTCCCGATTTCATTGTGTGACTGCAAAGCTAATCCTGTCAGGTTTTAGTTCTGTCTGAGGAGGGAAGACCTCTTCTGGGGCTGGTGTCTCATGTCACCTGCATGTCAGCTTTAGTTCCTCAGAGAAGTAGAATCAGAACTGTTCTGTTTGTCCATGCATACTCTCAGTCCTGGGTAAGTAGCCAGTTACTGAGCCCAGATGTGTTTGTTCTGTTCTTCGCTTTGTGGAGAATTCAGAGGGCAGACCCACAAACTCAGTCATATCTTTCTAGCCCCGGTGTCAGAGTCTTCAGGTGTGTGAACCATATCCTATGACGTGCTCCGCTCTGTGGGACAAAGACAAGGTTGGGGCATGGCTCCCACAGTCCTGGATTGTCCAGGTGTCGGTGGGAGGCAGAAACCTATACCGGTAAGACAATTAGAGCACAATCAAGGAAAAGTCATATCGTGGCATCTGCTAACTCCAAGAAACAGGCTCTGGGGCTGGGAGAAGCAGAGAACACTTGGAAGGGCTGGATGTTAAGAAGTTCAACTTCGAAACCTGGCAAGGACCAGGCCAGGCTGAAGAGTAGCCTGGATCAGAGGCTCCGACGGTCCGTAGACTCAACTCCCTCTGCAGCCCCAGTTCCTGCTGCATGCCCCACCCCTCCACGGCCTGCCAATCTCTCTCTCTCCCTCTCCCAGAACACCAACCTTTCCACACTGACTTCCCTCTTGGTTCTGACCATGCCTTCTTTTTCTCTCCTCTCCTCTCCTCAGAGAATCTTCTGCTTTTTTGTTTAGAGACTGGGTGTAGCCCAGGCTACCCTGGAACTCTGTGTACCCCAGGCTGGCCTCGAAGTTCTTATCTCACTTACCTCAGCCCAGTCTCCCACGTGCTGGGATTATAGGCAGGTGAGAGCGTGTGCACAGAAGAACAGATCCTGGAGGCCAGAACAGGCCACGAGAGCCCCTGGAGCTGGAGTGGGAGTTGTGAGCTGTCACAGTGAATGCTGGGAGGTAGACTTGGGTTGTCTGCCAGGGCAGCGAGTGCTCTTAATTGCTGAGCCATCTCTCCAGCCCTCAACTTTACCTTATGACGGTCAGACACTTTCCGCTTCACCAAATTAATAATACGGAAATCGTGGCAAGCGCATCGGTAGCATCTACGTGGAGCCAGGCATTGTTCTAAGGACCGAGAGTGGTTCAGTGCTGAGCTAGGATTCACGCTCGTCATGCCTGCTTGAGATCTAGTCACTCAAAGCCCCCCTGCTACACTCAGGACAAGCGAACTGACCCTTTGTCAGGTTCATGTTCACATTCCCGATGCCACCACGAAAACCATCACCCAGTGTCATTGGACTAGCTGTCTATCTGGACGCAGTTTCAACGCTCGTGGTCAATAGTCATTTGGTAGTCAATGGACCAAATGCAGTGTGTGAGATGCTGTAAGAGACCCAGAGATCCGAGCTGTATTGCCCATCTCATTTGCCCTTCACAGTCACCCCAATTTCGAGGAAGGGAAAGTGGCAAGGATTTGAACTCCGCGCAAATGTAACAGGGGCGGTGGTACCAAAAGTCACTCCTGGCCCTCCTGAGCTCAGGGCCACAGGCTGCTCAGAGATATGACCCCATCTCCACCTCTGTAGTGACAAAACAATGGGCGAATCCCTAACGTGGACGTGCTCAGACGTGCAAGATTGTCACACCGATTCCTTATTTTCTAGAAATTGACTTACTCTCTGCTTGAACTCTGGTTCTCCCTGGGCTGGGATTCACAGTAAACACCCCGGGATTTTCAAATTTCAAGATTTTATGTACTTCCAGGACTGCGGAGACAAGGGTGGGCAGTGTGACCTGCCCAGTCCTCTGGTCACTCAGGTTATCCCTGAGGGGGGGGGCCTTAGTCTCTGTCCCCTGAGAAGGCCCTTCCGTTCTGATGGCTCCAGCATTTGGCTGCTTCACAACACAAAGCTAATTCCCTGGAGCCTAACCAATCCTGCCTTCCCGGGCCTGCCAGACCAGGTATCCCTTTCTGTTTCTACTGCCCAGCTGCCCACTCCCTGGATTTCTCAGCATGGAGTCTGTGTCCTCACCCCAAAGACCCTGCTTGGGAGCCCACAAGCTCCCTCTGGGTATAATTCTGTCACATGCTTGCCAGAGAGCAGTGTCTAGAAAAACTGTGAGGGAGGTGGAGGTGGGAACACAAGGAAGGAGAAAACAAGAGTTCCAATCCCAAAAGTCATCAGACTACACTCTGAGAGGAAGCTTTGCGTAAAGCCAAGACATACGTGGAACCATTTTCATCGGTATGTCTGGGACATTGTTTTCCGCTGTCTTCAAGATCCCCTGTAACGGGCTTGCAGCTTTGCTTATGTGGAGATGAATATTCTGCTTCTGGGAAGACTGGCTGTAGTCTGACCGCGGTCACGTTGCCTTGGGTAGTTTTAGAGTCCACAAAAATGGGGACATGCTTCTCGTTCACGATTGCCACAATACAGAGGCATCACCTGCCCACCCAGTTTGGAGCAACAGAGACCCTTCAAGGACTTGAATTCTTACAACGCCACTGTCATCCCTGGGCTGTGGTGACCTGAAATGCAGAAACTGAAGACAAGGAAAGCAAGACTTGTCCAGAAGGCCCAGTTGGTAGCTGAAGGAATATTCAGGCTCAGATTTGGCATCTCTGGACCCAGTGCTTCTGCTGTGGCCTCATATATCATGAAGGTTACTGTCACCAGCAGACAAGAGCCTAGTCACTCTGACTCCCTGCCCCAGCTTAGAGTGGAGCACAGACACCTCTGAGGCCCTGCCTTTGGCAGACTCTGCGTGCACGAACCTCCTGGGGGAATGTGTTTCTAATCAGGGCACGCCACCTAACTTTTGCCTGTCTCAGTCCTGATGAAGTCATCTTTCCCCCTCTGCACCTGGATTCTGACGCCTGTCTTCCCCCTACCTTGGGGCTCAGCTGTCACCAGGAGTGTTGGTGCCAGCCAGAGCCCTGCCTGGGTGTGATGGCCTAAGAAGCTTTCTCTTCACATGCAGACCACAGACCCTCCCAGGACCATTCTCAAGTGTTTTAGCATCTCATTTCCAATTCCCATCCTCTGCATATCTGATCTGGGCTTACCAGGGTTTCTAGTCTGTTTACACACACCCCAGTCCCCACGGCTTCCGATTCACCCCACCCTGCAAAGGACTTCCGCTGTGCTTAGCAAACTGTCTGTGTCCTCACTTGCTGTCTCGGACTTCCCAGCTCTCTCTGTTCCAGGTCCCTGACCTGGCATTAGCCCAGCTTTCCTGGTAGTTTACTTTGTTCCTAGATACTCAAGGTGTGTAGCAGAGCTGCACCTAGGGAGGCCATCGGAGCCTGCGGTGTTAATCTTCTCATTGAGAGGGCCAGCATGCCTACACCTGGCCCCAGACGGATCAGAACTGATACGTGACCTCCCTTCACCCAAGGGTTTTAAGTGTGTCACTCCAGTTGCTAGTTTTGCATAATCACTCAGTTGAGATGATTTTATTTTGATCGGCTGCTATAAAAGTGCTCTAATGAGTCTATAATAAGCAGGCAGGAAGAGACATTCTGAGCCTAGACCATTGGGATACTAATACTGGTTTTAGAGAGT